AGCTGCACTACCAGGAGCTAGGAATCCTGAATAGTAAGCAAAGAGAGACAACTGAGCTTCCTGACACAATCATTGTGCATTACTCATGCTGAGTGAATAAGTCACAAATAGTGAACATTTAAGCAATGGATAGAGTGAGGCAAAATGAGCTACGCTTCAGCTGGAATCCAGCGAAGTTATGGGGATTGGATTTCTGCTCCTCAGTGCCATGAGTGAGTCTGAACTTTAAATTGATTATTTGTACAAAAAAGACTTTTAATTCAGAAAAATCTTTTATATTTTAATTGATAGTGTTAATCCTCACCCTCCAAACTGTATCTCCAACCAATTGGAATAGGTGTCCCAGAATACAATGAAATTAGTTAAACAGCTTTATTTTTATAATTAAATTTAGAGGTGAGGTCAGTTGGGTTGTATTATGTACATTTTCACACCCCAATATATGTACAGAAGCTAGTAGATGAATTAGTTTAAAACGAGAGAAAAGAGAAAAACAGTCAAGTAAAGATTTTTCCAAATAATGGTAGACACCTTGTTCACAACTCCTCTAACTGCCCCAAATAACACTGCTTGATCATCTTCTTCCTAAAAAACCTTTTTCTCCAATCTACAACTAGCTAGCTTTGTTAATTCTTCCACATTGAGGGTAGATATTAGCATATCTAAATCTCATTAAGGAGTTTATAGAACTTTCTCTAAAGGAAATAGCAAAACAACATTCAATTAGTTTGCACTCCAGATGACAATAGAAGATGTAAACGAAACAACTAGAAAACAATCCAAGGTAGATCATGGTGCTTTGGCTCATAAACGTGTTCATTAGATAAAGAATTTTGGAAAGAAAGATCTGTTTTGTAATCAGAAAAACAAAAAACAGATTTACTGATTTGAATTGAAAAGTAGGTAAAGAATTTCAGTATTTACTCACATATTCATTCAAATATAAAAGGGAACTGATTACCACCTCCACCACAACAAGCATGTGCTATATGTGTGCAAGGTTAGATCAAAGTGGTAGCTAAGAATATTATATTCTGCAGTTGTTCAAGGATGACAGTTGAGAAAGTTTGATGACAGAGGATAAAAATAACACTTGTTTGGACATAAATGGCAGGCTTTTTTTCAATGAAATATGTGAATGTTCCCCCTTTTATCCACAACCCCAGAAACCCAAAATAATTTTGCAACATTAAGTTCACTACCTCATCGAATTATAATTATTCTGATTTTCTGAAATGAAAATATAACTATGTTATAAACATGAGAATAAATTGAGGCAATGATAATATAAGTAACTATTGGGCTTAATCCAATTACTAGCTTTGCTGCACAGTAAATAATATGCATAACCTCTGTTCAACTATTTTTTCCACCATTGTAAAACAAAGCCTTTGACAGGAGTTAGTTAACAGCAATTTAGAGCTGCCTCTAAATTGCAGAAATAAAAATGCTCACAATTTGAATGTGCTTTGTTGACAAAGGGACTATGGCCTATTTACCTTTTTTTTTTTTTTAAAGTGGAATCTTCAGCTCCCAGATTGACAGTCAGTTACAAAGAGAGGAAGGCACCTTAAAGTTTCCTCTGGAGTGTATTATCACTGCATTCCAGTATCAGCAGTGGGTATAAACCGTGTGCTCTATCATACTTTTATCTTTATACTTCAAGTCAAGAGAATCCTGAGCAAGGTCGGTTTTCCTATCCACCCAGTGTGCACTTTGCATAGATTTAAAAAAAAATTCACAAAATTTGTTCTGTGGATTTCGTTTATGTTTCAGTGAAATATGTTTCTTTTTATGGTGGTGACTTTGCAAGAAAACAAGGCCAGGAGAGGCATTTCCTCAAAGGCCTAAAGGAGACATTACCACCACCACCACCACCACCACTACTTGCCAAGGAATTTATAAAGCATCTTGAGGCTCAAGGTTAGTATGGGAGACCAGCCAGGCTCAGAAGTTAATACAAAGATAAAGGTTAGTATTTTTCCCTCTTTTAGCCCACCAATACAACAAACTACTTAAATAGTAACCCCCATCAGTCAGGTAATGATGTCTTTTCTACAATTATCATATTTGACTTTGTCTATTTTCTTTATGCTAGTGAGGTTTGGAATTAGAATTGAAAATCCTCTAGGGAAAAGCTATTTTTGTAATTCAGCTGGGGTGTCCTTGTCTTTGGGTTTTCCCATTGCATCAGTCCCTTAGCCTGGCAGGATAGCCATGATAGTGCTTTGTCTTTTAGATGAAATGCAGAACTAAGGACATGACTACTGGTGCTTATTAAAGATTCCTTGCTATTTTTCACAAGAGTAGGGGCGTTAGACTCTTGTCTACTGGCCAAATTCTATATTGGGAGATTACATTCTGCTTTCCTAAATTCCCCTAGCAGAAGCAGCCATCCATGATATCCTACTTTGCTTCCTGTGCTAAACTGTTGTGTGATGTCATTAAATGGCTCTGGATTTTTACTCAAGAAATGATCACTTTAGTGGAATGGGGAGTAAATCGGTACTTATTTTCTGATACTATATTCAATCTAGTTTCAAACAAATTAAAAGGTAGGCTGTTACACTTAAGGACAAAGTACAAAACAAAACACCTTAACGTACAACGTACAAAACACTCTAACGTACCAGTTGTTGTGGTGCTTTAAAAGAAAAAAAAAACAAAAAACAATCTACTTTCTCTTCTGTAACATAGCCAAAAATATTAATGCATTTCTTTTACTCTATTAGTAGTTGACAATGAATTATTTGCTTCAAACATAAGGTTAATTCTAACAGTGATGAAGTTTGAGAGGATGAAATTACATATTGCCGACTGATTAAACTATCTCTTCTGTCTTTAGGCTGCATCTAACCATCCCAGACTTTCATTTGTCTATCTCATAAAAATATTTTTGGGCTGGGTGCTGTGGCTCACATCTGTAATCACAGCACTTTGGGAGGCCGAGGCGGGTGGACCACCTGAAGTCGGGAGTTTGAGATCAGCCTGGCGATCACGGTAAAACCCCATCTCTGCCAAAAAGTCAAAAATTAGCCGGGCGTGGGGGCAGGCACCAGTAATCCCAGCTACTCTGGAAGCTGAGGCAGGAGAATCACTTGAACCCAGGAGGCAGAGGTTGCAGTGAGCCTAGATTGCGCCATTGCACTCCAGCTTGGGCAAAAGAACGAGACTCCGTCTCAAAAAAACGAAAACAAAACAAAAAAAACCTCTTTTTGGAAGGAGATTTTTCATCTTTCCTTGATAACATATTTCAGTGTCTCTCAATTTTTCCATAAAAACTAAGTTTTTATTTGTGTTTAACCTTGGTTCCCACCTGCTGGAGTGTAATGTCACTATCATTTGTTCATCATTAGCCTTGTTATAACATATTTTTAGTGAGAGGCAATATAGGATTATGGTATGGTTTTTGGAATCAGATATGCTGGCATTCCAGTGCTGGCTCTGTCACTTTCTGGGTGTGTGATGTTGGGCAAATTACTTCTGAGGTTTAATAGCTTCATCTGTGAATGAGTAACCTCAGAGCATCACTCTGAAGATAAAATGAGATAGTATCTTATTTTGAAGGATTATGGGGTAAGATGAGGCATGGTACAGGGCACCTAAAAAGTGTTCAATACATAGTACAATAGCTATTTATCTGATTACATGCATGTATCTGACTTAATTCATAAACTCTTTAAGAGTGGGAGGCATACTTCCTGCGCATTCCCTGGATTTCAACAGAAGTGTAGTGTTGTGCACATAGTATGGTGCAGAGGCTCAATATTTACTGAAAGAATAAATTGTTTTGTTTTTATTCCCTGAGGGGAATGAACAGCCCCCAGCTACCTGCAAGATCCCACGCATGTAGATAAAAGGTGACAAAAATCAATCTGCAGTTTTTAAATATGCAGATACCTGACTTTATCTGGATGTTTTAGCATGGTGTAGATACAATGCAAATAACTTACACTTGCTATTTCTGTCAGGTTCATTTCTATGAATTTTAGCATTTGATTATTGTCATTATTTTTATTATTAAGCTGCACTAAGGCGCCCAGAAAGGGACTGACTCATATGCCTCCTCATCCATCCAAGCATTTAACTGAGAAATTTAAAAAAATGAATATTAAGAGCTAATTATATACTTGAACAATATATTTCAATTTGTGACTAAGTACATTACCTTCCCTATTTATCTCTAAGATCTGATAACTACAGATAATATTTCTAATTGCTTTGTTTCCAAGCCAAGAAATAAAAACCAAAACCAGAAAAGTCCACCACTGCAAGTCCCAAAGCACAATTAGTATCTATCTTTGAACCAGTGAAGTATTGGTTAAGACTTTATTTTTAGCTTTTAAATGTTTACACGGGGCTAGGAGTGTTAAGTCGGGGGAGCAACTACAAGATACATAGATTCAATCAGACTTGAATATTTGTCTATAAGGAAAGGAAACAGTATTACTTTTTTACCGTAATCTCGGAAAACCTCTGGTGTGTACTTAGGCTAGAATTAAAAACCGCAGCGTGGCCATTTCCCCGACTGCTTTGTACATACTTTACAGGGGCGGTCTCAGGTGTGGAGCTCCGGGCACCTGCTTGCTCACACTCAAACAGTTCAGAAACCTGTGTATTTGAGGCCAGGTGGCTCAAGTTCCACGTAAATGGCCTTAAGTGCCATTAATACTACGTGCAGCGGGGGTCACTGAGCTGTGCTTTGGGACTTGGATGCTTACCTCGGACTTTCTCCTTTCTTCCCCCCTGCCCCCACTAGTTTCCCTTTCCTTCCTTCCTTCCCAGGCGTGCCCACCTCCTCCCTTTGCTCCCACTCGCCACTGCCTGACTCTTGTTTCCTTCACCTTCCTAATCGGCTTCCTGTCTTCCATCCTATGCCGGCCGCAGAGATTGAGATTGGGGCTGGGGCTGCAGCTCAGAAGCGGCACGAGTCGGGCTGGACAGGCGTGAGGCACCCAGCCGCGAAAGCGCGGGGCGCGCGCCGAAGCGGGGGCGCGCGCGGGGCAGCCGCGTGTCTAGGCAGACGGGGCCGGGAGCGGCGCGCGCGCGCCCCGCCAGCCTCTGGCGCGCCCCCGGCGGCCGGGGCCGCAGCGTGCTCGCCCCCGCCGCCAGCTCGCCTCACTTATGGGTCGGAAACGCTGCGTGGGGGAGACTGTTCCAAGATGGCGGCGGGTTGCTGCGGGGTGAAGAAGCAGAAACTGTCCAGTTCGCCCCCCTCTGGCTCCGGTGGCGGTGGTGGCGCCTCCTCCTCCTCCCACTGCAGCGGAGAGAGTCAGTGCCGAGCTGGGGAGCTGGGACTAGGAGGCGCCGGTACGCGGCTCAACGGGCTGGGAGGTCTAACCGGAGGAGGTAGCGGCAGCGGCTGTACCCTCTCTCCCCCCGAGAGCTGCGGCGGCGGCGGGGGGATCGCCCTGTCGCCACCAGCGAGCTGCGGAGTGGGGACCCTACTTTCTACCCCGGCCGCCGCCACCTCTTCCTCACCCTCCTCTTCGTCCGCCGCCTCGTCCTCATCGCCGGGCTCCCGGAAGATGGTGGTGTCAGCAGAGATGTGCTGCTTTTGCTTCGATGTGCTCTACTGTCACCTGTACGGATACCAGCAGCCCCGGACCCCCCGATTCACCAACGAGCCCTAGTGAGTACCGTGCCCTCTGCCGCCCTCTCCCTTGCGCTCGGGATGGGGCTCAGAGTTGAGGCAAAGTGCGAGTCCGCCTCCTGGCCGGCGGATGCCCCTGCCCTCTCGCTGCCCGGGTCCCCGGAGCCACTTAACTGAAGTAAGGGCACCCTCCGCTTTCTGCCCTCCGAGGCAGGCACCCCACACTTGGAGCAGGGTGCTGCTTGCAAGGGATGGCTCCGGGGCTCCCAGAGGTGTTAGCTTTCTCTTTGCGATAACTTCGAGGAGTTTTGACTCTTTCCTTATCTCCTTAACCACCCCCACCACCCCTCACCCTGCAGGGGTTTTGGAGATCTGGGTTGTTACTCAAGGTGTCGACCTCTCCTCACTTTGGTTTCCATTACCCCAAGTGAAAGCCCCGCCAGTATTCCCGCCCCGCGTACCTTGCACATGGAGAACTACTATCCCATTGCAGGGCGAAAAATAACAACTATGCAACTTCTGTTAGTGATGGAACTTAGCTCTGGAGCTTGTGAGAAGGGTACCCATCTTTTCCTCTGGATTTCCTTGTGCCCTAGGGAACGGGGAGGTTTCTTAGAACACATTTTCCCTTACTACCTATTTTTATCCAAATACACCCGTTAAAATCTGTTTCTCGTGTAGCGAGCGCACTGCCGGCTTCCTCACATTTGAAGAGACCTTTCTTTTTTTTCATTCCACCGCCTGGGTAATAGCTCATTCAAAGAGAGCTGTCCCCACAGAGCCACTGTCAGTTTGTACATTAAGCATGCATTCGCTTTTGTGTTGATTTCACTTTTTAAGAAATCCATGTTATACTCGACGATTTGAAAACAGTTAAATAGTAACTGTGTAGGAATTGTTATGGTTTCCTTTGGTTTTGTACCTCAAATTATTTTACCCTTCAAGTGTGTGGTTGAAAAATTTTAAGAAAGCACTGTTACAGCTAAAAGCCAGGTTAATTCTAATCCCTGTCCATTTGGATGTGTGGGAGATGGGGCATATGGTTTATTTTTAATGTGTAAACTGAGTGTAAACTGACTTTTTGAGTTAAATGCTAGACAGAATGTAAAGACCAAGAGAGGGCAGAATGAGAAAAAGTGCAATTGCTTTTATTTGAGTACTTAGCATCAACAAGAATAATAATACAGAAAAATTTCAGTGAAACTCGTACTGAAAGACTTCAGCCCCTTTTCCAGCTACAACAAGTGTGCCTTGTCCCCATATCATAAATACCTGGATTGATGTTCTTTTAAAATTGCACCTTTTCATTTTGTGAGATTAGAGGATTGGACTACTATTGGATAAGTATAAACACTTCTGCCTAGACTAAAATATTAAATTAATATGTAAAGTGGAAATTACAATAAAGTGTCCTGGAAATTGTGCATTTGTACTGTTTGTTTTCTTTGGCTTTTATGCTTTAAATGTCTTTAATTTTGTATGACTCTTTTGTGGTCTGTGCATTTTTCTTTTAGACTTGGTTAATCTTTGGGCATTGGTTCATGAGAAGTACAAGAAAGAGCATCCAGGAGAACACTTTGTCCAATAAGTATCTTTATACATTTCATAGTGTTAATTCTAGACGCTTAAATCCTAAGTCCACACCTTTATTTAGCCAATTAATTTTTTTGGTTAAGAAGTAAAATTCATTTTGAAAAGACTGCCATGTAAAAAAATCTGTGAAATATTTATTAGTTTGAGTCACTTATTTGTGACTTTCCTGCCTTCTCTTGGATGTCTGTGATGTATTAAAGCTAGTCCTGGGATGATACTTAGGTTGGCTCTGCAAAGTCATGGGACTGCAAAAATTCACTCCTGTTTAGTTCTTGAGCTGTTACATGAGTTTGGCAAAGGCTGTTTTAGTATTCACGCTCCATTGCTCCAAAGCATATGAGAACACACTTTCAGGAGGTGCTATTTTCACACATTTTAAAGTGAGTTTGGGTTAACTCAATGACTATAACAAGAATTTTAAAAGGAAAGTGAGCTTGACCAGTTCATACAGAAAATGCTTTTGAAAATATCATTTTAACAGTAGCCACTTTGCACACGTATTCTCTTCAAATACCCCAGCCCCTGGAGTTCTTTTTCATGGAATTAAACAGATGATAGGACACACTTTTGACCAGCCCCTGTAGTTCTTTTTCATGGAATTAAACAGATGATAGGACACACTTTTGACCACTGTGGATATGTTGAAACAGTGGTGGAAGAATAATAACTATTATTATTTAGGAGACCTTGAATATGTCATGTATTCTATAAAACAGCTAATTTAGAGTAGACACTGAACATGACCAAGTGGAGAATGAAAGTTCACATAAGTGGAAAGTGGACTGCCTTATTTCCATTTATCTTCAATTCATGTTTGAGGTGTACTGTGGAAAATTCAGGAAAACTTGTTGGTTATGGGAGGGAAATAACTAAGCATTTAAGAGTGCCTTAGTAACTACCACACATTTGTCTTTCTGTTTTACATTTAACAGCATTGTGTACTTACTAGTGTGGGTTTATCCTAAGTGCCATAAGACATAAATAGATATATTGGGATTTTTTCTCTCAGTGATTATCATGTCATGAGCAGTGTATTTCAGGTCCTGTCTCTGTCCACCAGAAGATGCACTTTTGACAATTTTAACTTTTCATGTAAAAGCACACTCTTTTCATCCATCTCCACAACCTTTCTCTCAATGTCTGTAACTGGTGAAATCCTCATTTTCTAAGTTTAGAAGTTCTAGACCCATCAGTTAGTTATCCTTCCACTCTGAAAGATTATTGGAAATTTCAAGTCATCTATATGTTTCAGTATCGAGGGGATGTCAATATATGAACAGGCTCTATAGATACAAATTCTTAACTGTTGCTGCCATTTTTTAAGTACCTACCCAATTGCAGAGAGCATTGTACAGGCAGGTTTGTGCACAGAAATCCGGTTCAAGACATGAGGAAAACTTTACTGCATTTTGCTATTCAAACTCAGAGCTCTTGAATTTATGTCAGTGAGCCCAGATAGCTATTTTTTAGGAACCTGTTTGCTACTATAAAGGGATCCACTGTGCCGAGTGTTGAGCCAGTTAGATTCTAGAGCAGCCATTCTTAACCTTGCTGCACATTGGAGTCACTGGGAAGTTATTAAAAATATGGATGCCTGAGTCCCAACCCCAGAGATTCTGATTTAATTGGTCTTGGATGGGGCCTGGGAATCAGGATTAGTAAAAGCTCCCCAGGTGAGTTTAATGTGCAGCCAACGTGGCGAACCACTGGTTACATTCTACTGAATCTTTCTCTTGAGATTTGGATTAATTTGGTCTAGGGTAATGCCTTGGAATCTGTATTTTATGAGCACCCTGGGTAATTTCAGTAAACAACTGATTTGAGAAGCTCTTGCATTGTAGTCTGCAGAAGACATCACCTTAGAAATTGTTACAAATGTAGGCTCTCAGACCCTGCCTTAGACTTGTTGAATTCGAATCTACATTTTAACAGGCTCCCCAGGTGATTCTTCTGCACATTAAAGTTTAAGGAGGACTGGTTCCCAAACTTTGGAGTACATCATAATCTGTAGTGCTAGTTAAAACACAAATTGCTGGGCCCCATTCCCAGAGTTTCTGATTCAGTTGGTGTGGGGTGGGGCAGTGAATTTGCATTTCTAACAAGTTCCCTGGTGATGCTGATGCTACAGTTCCCAGGGCCACATGTTGAGAACCACTGGGCTAGAGAGAAGTGAGGACCTGAATGAGTACTTCAGCGACTATAATGGAAAGGCAATTTTCAAGGCCATGTTTCAGTATAAAACTTCCTGCTTCTGTGTCATTATGCTTTAGCATGTTCATTCTAACTTAGCACCGTGGAGATTGAGTGTTGCCAAGAGTCTGAGGTTCTTGGGATGGTTTTAGCTGAGGGGTGAGGGTGACTCTTGGAAACCCGTGGTATGATTTTAGGTCCTTTTTCAGAAATTGTTAAATGTAAGATATACATTTTAGTAGTTAAAAACATTACAAATATGATACCTTAAGGTCAATAGTATTGATTTTAATAAGTAAAGCCCCCTTTGTTCCCATAAAAATGCTCTTATGATTCTTTCTTTCACTAACGTCTTGTGAAAAGATTTTAAAAGCTTTTATGTGTGCTTATGGTTGCTGGATTTCATTTTAAGACTTTCCCACTGTAACAAAAATATAAAAGGATTCTGCTAAGGCATTGGGACTGTTCAGTCTTGTATCTTTAATGCTGCTGCGTGTCACGTTACTTGAACTTTTTATTTTAATCATCTTACCACCTTTGAAGTTAACATAATACTACATTTTGTATAGACCATAGCACAGAGAAGATTCTTTATTGTTAAAATACATCAATAAGTATGGTTTTAAATTGCAATGAATAAAATGTATTTTAAAAAAAATCCACTCCCAAACATGCAGATTTTGAGAGTCTGATGAGGTGTTTGAACAGTTAACTCTTTATCGTCTTGCCACAGTAGTCAAGTTACTGTTTTTCAGTGTGCTTGGGAGGAATTGGGTTGTATTGGGAGTAGGCACTTTCTTTCACCAGAACTGTAGTAATCCTATTGCACTATCAAAAAGATGATTTGATAGTGCAGCTCAGGTTAAAGTGATATTAAATTTGCATTTTATACATAAGTTATTGTATTTTTATTATACGCTTTTTGATGAAGATTGACCAGAATAGCCAGAAGATGTATCTGTCTGTTGCGCATAATGCCATGAGGTCATGACAGATTTCCTTATCCATACTAACATAATGGTACTAACTTGCATTCTTTTGTCATAATGCATAGTTTTTCTTATAAAAGAAAAACACTATCAGAAAAATTGTTGAGTCTTTTAAGATAAAATATGGTGGTTTTTTAACAGTGTTGATTCTCATTAGAAGACAATCTGATGTTGTATATTACTGATAGAAAAGAAGGCAGGCATGTCCCCAGTTGTCAGTTGTTCTGTAAAAGCCCTCAGTGACTGAGCTAGAAGGATGGAGAAATA